ATTCAACTTTTATGATGCTGAAGTTGTCTGGAGTTGAGATAGTCGTGTGATTTGCGGTGTACTCGATGTAGGGTACCCTAGCCCCTAGTCTATAAACTAGTGCAACGGCCTACCAAATGCGTATTTCGTGCTGAAGCCCAATTTGGCCCAAGCAGGTGACCACGGGCCCACGAGGTGACTCATACGGCTCCCTGTCCGTCTGCGCGACACGGGGTCAGATTTTGAAAAATAAGCAGGTCAACCTGCGAGTGGTCATTTCGAAAGCGAAAGGGACTATCAGTCGGACACTGAAGCGCGGTGCTCTTCAAAAACGAGAACAAAGGAGGCATGGATATAAAACCTAGCTCTATTCAAAAAGCTGTGCTGTCAAGTTCACTAATAAAATATGCCATCATAAGGCCAGTCTCTAACCCGAATGGGGACAATGATAACAGGGGGAGGTATAAACGGGACGCGCTTTAGCAATTCAGCTAGTCTTTTCTTCCAGTTAGCCGGCCCAAGTGGACCAGGTGCCAGTCCAGGTTCTTCGACTTCCTTGTCCTCGGGATCATCGTCTACGTGCAGTACGTCCTCTTCTTCTTGTAGTGTTCCTTTCTCTAGTTCATTTGACCAGGTCCTCTTCATTGTTGTGGTTTGCGAGGGTAGAGCGTTCAGTAGAAGTAGGAGGAAACAGAAGGGTATGAGAGGAAATCGGCGTCGCTGTAGCCACAATAGTACGCAATTGGGGGACATGTTCGTTGCCGAATGACCTGAAGCGCTCTACGATAAACGGTAGCTTTAATACTATTTCAGAGGCTGATGTTTACGTCAAGATAATCACTAGTTTTTCGCCTACGTAAACGCGCACACTTACACACGAACCTGACGACGCCTACACCAGAGTGGTGCAGCGACCGGCGGGTATAAGGCGGATTATAATGATATTAGACTTGCGTAATATCCGCCTCACTTACTTTTATCTTACTCGCCTAAGCCCGGTGTTAAGACACGATCAGGAAATCTGCTGGGTTGTGTCGCCCTTCCGATGCGTACCAAGACACGTACCTAGGATCACAACTACGTTGCCGTGGCATGAAAGCCACATTAATTAGGCGCCATTGCGGTCTGACCCTCATTCCGCCAGTCTATCGCAGGGGTTTAAGTGAGTCAAACCTAGCAACTGCGATCTTTAGACCATGGTTACATAGTGCAGGAGAGAAGTCGATAAAGTCCAGATTAGATGGAAGTGTATATTGTGTAAACAAGGGAAAGGAGAATGAATGGATAAAAATTTGACTTGGTTAGCTCACGGCCAGCAGAAGATCCAGCCGCGATCCAAGTGTGGTTATAGCAGCAGACATGCAGGCAGCCGCGAGAACGGGCATTGTCTGGTTGCCTTGAATTTTATTGGCCGGAAAATCCTCATCGACCTAGGAGTGCCTGCGTCCTATTCGCCGGCGGGAGAGACGAGCATT